CCTCTGGAAAGGTGTATTGGGTGAAAAACCCATTATGTTCTTAACCTGCCCAGCTCTCCCCCCCCCCCCACCCCCCCTCCCTTTCATTCCACACATTTCTTTGAAATTACTAGTATTATATACTGTACATACCTGTATATAAAAAATCAGTAGAGAGCTACGGAAAGTGACTGTCGTATAACATACATTTATAAAGTCAATATGTTTTTAAACCTTGCTTTATCAGCTTAAATATACAAAATAGATAACGGACAGTTGCCCTATCATGAGATAAGCAAAGAGAAATGGAACACGAATATATATATAGTAAATGAAATATGCAATTTAAAATTGACTGTCACTCATACACAAACTAAACCAACCCCCTACCCCCAAGCACTTAAATATGAGCAGCACTCACACTTTTCCCCAATACAACAAAATAAATGTCTGTATGCCCCCCCATGAAGGCCCATCTCCAACTCTTATTTATGATCAATAGACAGAAAGACACAAAAACCTAAAGGCCGTTCATACTAGCAATTAGTAAACAGTGTTAACTCCATTAGAATTGCCTTCCTATTTAATGGTCTCTTTATATCATACCATACCATTATACTTTTACATTTTGTGAATAATATTTACAATGTTTATTGCTTTCATTGTTATTACGACTTTTTAATTTTTATTTTGCTGTCATTCTGTAATCATTAATTAATCTAATATTTTACAGTAATTTTGCACTTGATAATGTAGCCAAAGATGCATAACTCTAAAGCTACACTATCACTTAATGTCAAATCCCCTCTTCAATTTTGCAAGTTTTTTTTTTTTTTTTAACCAACAATTAAAACACTAACAGTGTTTGGTAAAAATGTTATAATACAATAACTGTCATGTAAATAAGCATGTGAGTCGATGTGACCATCAAATTTGTCCAAAATTAATTAGATCAATCTGTTAATTAAAAATGTGATACTACAGTGTTCAAAATATTTACTAGTAAATATTTAACTATACTACTACTGTGCAGAAAAAAAATGCTAGAAAAAAAGAGAGTGTCCAGGACCTCAGTATCTTGAGCACTGGGGCAAGAAGACATAAACAATACCTCAGGATGCATTCATACCAAACCAAAAACGATCCAGTATTTGAATCTACAACCAAACTGATATTACATAACAATTTAATTAATTTATTGATCTCTCTTTCTCCCCACTTAATATTTTCCTTCACTCTTCTCAGCTATATACACTCTGGGGTAGCGCTAACACTCTCCAATTTAGCCAAATGCTAAAACTGACTTAAAGTGGCTAAAGAAAAAGGGCCTAATTTGACTTGTTTTAGTCAAATTATAACCATTTTGATAACAAATTGACAAAAAAATTGGTGATTTGGCTAAGCCAAAAAAATTACTAGCGCTACCCCAGACACTACTAAATAGATCTATCATCTGTACTTTTCATCTGAACATCACACAATTGAACCATTTTACTAATTATAAAGATGATTCACTCAGATACTTCTGATTTCAAAAGTTTCAAGTATTTATAACCCAAAACATATTGGACACAAACTGCTAAGTACACCTCACCTTAGATCTAATATACCAGACCTCACAGGAACGCAATAAGTACAATAATTTTATAACATGTCTAAGGGTCTGATTACCACCTTCAAAGAACATTTGGCATACCTTATCATTGTTAGTGTATATAATTGTTAGGTCATATTAGCCTTTCATAAAAATGTAGTAGAACCAATAATATTCAGAATCAATACAAAGAACGATCCATCTGTGTCCTGAGTGAACATGCCCAATGACTAAGATTGCTACCAGATGTGATAGAGAACCCAAGGGGCGTCATTAGCCTATATATCATTAATACTACATCTCTTCAAGCTCTGTCTTACACATGAGAAACCAAGGGCAGACACAGACAGCAGGGACCAAATGCACAAAATAATTTTAGATCGAAGGCTGGTCCCAACTTTAAGACTTAAATGAATGTTCAAAGTGCCTATTTACAAAAAGAAGGAAATGCCTAGCTAAAAAAATATCTATTTTATAAAATAATTTACTATCACAATTTTACTATAATTTTTTATGCAAAAATAAATTGGACTGAAATGTTTGGTCTAAAGTTAAAGTTCGGACCAATTTTTGGTCTACAGTTATTTTGTGAAAACACACCAGGGTTGTATTAAGGCTATCTAACAACAGTTTTTGTTTTTTTTTTTTTTTTTTGGGGGGGGGAGCAGGAAATCCAGCTCCATCCTCATAATTTAATTACTGTACTTTTTTTAACTAGGCCCATGTTAACAACTTTAAATGCAATAGCAGACAGTGAAATGTTCAGAATACATATATATCCAGATCAATGGCTCAGCATTCACTAAAACAAAGCAAAAAACGTGTTTAAAAGAGAATGCTTGCTCTTGATATGTGTTACACGATATACGGACATAAATATTTAGACCCTGAACAAAGAAGCTTATTCTCCCCTTGTTGTCTACTCCAGACAATGAAAAAATCAGCTGTCAGAACCATATCACATTTACAGTATAAGACTGACACTGTTTTTAGTCAAATTACAAGTACTGGATTTTTTTTCTTTGCTTCACAAATGTTTCATGCAGCTACTGTATTACAACGACTTATCACATCTCAGTTATGTACTTACTAGTAGCTGCACGAAACAGTTGTCAAGCACAAAAGGCATACAAAGTGAATTTATAATCACATTCAAACTCATTTGTGACTTGTTTTTTACTCTGTCAGACTAATAAACTGAATTTCAGAATACTTACCAGACATGGTGAAAACTTTGTGGAGGCATTGAAAGTCATGAGGATCTGCACTACAAGTAATCTGCAGGTCCTCGTTAGTCGCTGTTTGCATCATCATGTGATTCGTTATTGTGCATTGTATTTTTCCATAAAATTTGTTACTGTTTACATTGCCGTGTGCTCAATTACTGTGCACTGTATTTTTACATTAACTTTGTTAGTTAAGAGAACCTGCGATATCAAAAATCTTGCAGTTGCTGTGGTATTTCAAGTAGTCATGACCGGCTGGACAGGCAATTTCACCATGCCTGACTTTACCCAGCATTTTCTCCTTCATCCATAGTTTTAACCCTTACAATGACCCTCCTCTATTTCTCTACCATCCACAGTTCAAAAAGAATGATGATTGCCCTCCTTCCCTCCCCCTCTCTCTCCCTATAGTTTATACCCTTATTAAGCATCAATTAAAACTAACCAGATGTTTCAGGCTGTACAGGTGAGTCTTTACAGGCTGTCAAACCCAAGGCCAGCTCAGTCACTGAAGGATAAAGTACTGTATGATATATTATAAAATAGAAAAGAAAATATCTCTACCCCCTGAATGACCATTGTGATGATTTTGATATCCCTACCCCCTGAATGACCATTGTCATGATTTTGCTAGATAACAAGAAAAGGAGAAAGAATCTTACTTCATGCATACTAAGAATCATTTGTCTGTCTCTATCCATACCTCTTTCAAGTATGGTAAAGCAATGGGCCATTCTGTAATTTTTTTTTTTTTTTTTTTTTTTTTGGGGGGGGGATGCATTTGAAACCCTAATTTTCTCCAGGTACAAAAAATGTGCACAGAATAAACCATGCAGAGATATGTGTGTACATATATACCAATAAGTAAAATAAAATCTCAATGTGTTCCTCCTATGTTTTTAATGAGACTATAGTGCTGGGCTCTGGGGGACATAAATGGATGAACCAATTACTGCATTTATCATCATTTACAGGTGTTTTACGGTATATCTAATGAAAGGGCTGAAAGCACTCCTTCTTGTATACTACATTCAGGTGATAAATTTCAATTTGTCAGCTACTTAATCTGAATGGTTTCCTTCCTGTTAGTTGCCCATGCACTGTATATAGGTAACTTGCATCCTCTTAAACATCACAACTTATTTACTGGTAATAGTAATGTGCTATACTGCAGAAAGTTAATTGTTATATAATATTGATTATTTATTACATTAATAAGAATCCAAACCACCACAAACAACAACAACACAAGCACACAGTTATCGCCCAATGCAAGTAATCATAGAATTTACTATGAATACTTGCATTCACCGGTCCAGCAGCAACTTCCTCAACATGTACTGAGTATAGCTGTATACTTTTAGTATAAAATGTGTCTATTAGTAGTTTTTAAAGATCTAGAATGAAAAAAAATATTAATCATATCCGATTCTTCATTACAAACGGTCCATAAGCACCGTGCGTATTTTTTTAGGAAACAGGGGGCTGAACTTCAGCAAGTATTTTGTAAATAAACCATGACGCATACTACGGTAAACTCTCAGCTTAAGACGGCGTACAGACACCTGTTTTGAGAAACGGTAAAATGCCCCTTTTTTACGATCTGATAAACCTACCTGCGTTGTTAGTAAAACATCAAATCATCGTGGAGTATACGGTGGTATGAATCGTACATCTAATCAGTCCAATCTCGCTAAAGGGGCACGGATAAAAGTATAATTGCTTAAACTGTTAGTCATCCATGACCCTGAGGCTGTCGCCTTGACCTAATTTATTTGATGCAGAAGTCGGGCGAAGCGGGCAACATGGCGGATCGCGTTGAATGCATAACAGAAAATTGCACAATAAAATTGTAAACAAACATAACAGGCGTAGCTGCTAATATAATTAGGGGTCTTCTCCTTTAAAAAGTCGACAAGCAAGTGTTTATGCTGTCCTCCCAGCCAGGCTTTCATTAATAAATATTGATGTAAACAGACCATAGAAGCCAAATATATGGGACCGATATGGAATTGCCCCTGTCCCGTTCCTTTTGTTATAGCAGCAGCAGGCGATTTAATCACAATTATTTATTCTAATTACTTCTTAGTGCTGTATATTTTTAAGGCCGATTTTTCCCTTAACCAGTTAAACGGTGGCTAATAAAATACATAACGTCTGTTCGTGTCTATTTTTAGACAAGGGTTATTTTACGACTTCACTAAGTAACATAGGGCGGTATCGTCGAATTTGCTCGTCAATGTTCTCTAGTTTTTTCAGTTTAATGGGACTTCTAGTAAAGGTAGGCGATAGGTTAAATTTCATCTACTTTTTGTGGAAGCACCACACTATTTCATATCTCACTGCAGTTCATTTTGAGTAGACTATTGACAGTTTCGTCTTTTGTGGAAATACAGTAGAAATGCGCATGACAGGAACCGTACGCCATACGGGTCTTTGCGGTCCTCAGCTGTGGACCAGAAAGGGACAAACAAGGCATCGGTTTGTGAGGGTGACGTACCTGACGCTTGTATAGGAAAGCTGTTTGAAAAGACTATAGATCTGAAATAACTGAATAAATTGCTAATAGTAGACAGCAGGGATTTTTCTATATGGTACAAGACATATCGACCCATATAACTTCTCTTTTGGTAATTTTCAGCTCCTCAGACCTCGATGGATGAAGAGTCTTCTCTTAGTTCTCCTCGCTTACGGCCAGATAATTCATGTTGGTGGTCTTCAGTGTAGGGTTGGTCAAACAGAGGTTATACCACATGGCAGCAGTCAACCAGTATGCTGTATGGACATAACTTGTTCACAAGGTAGGTCTGTGTTCTCTCTGGCCCCATTCAGAATAAGAAGATCCCATCACTAAGTGGTCCATGGCTTAAATATGGCTGACTGACATGAAAGGAAGACCACTTAATCCTGGTCTCTCCGCCTCTCACATGCCACCCCACACGTCGTCCCTGCAGGAGCAAAGTACTATTAATTAAATCTCAGCTCAATTCGACCGATTGAGAGACAACACGTGGGGAGGCATGTGAGAGGTGGAAAGGCCCTTACAGGATTAAGCAGTCTTCCTTTCATGTAGGGTCTGCCTTATTTGAGCCTTACACCCCATTTCCATAGATTTTTAGATCGATCTATCCCTGTGGGGAGTCTCACTAGATTACTGTCAGCTTGGCCAGCTTAAGCGTCTGTCCCGCCTACTAAAAGCTGTAAAGGGGTAATTAATTATGGTGCCCGCTCGGCTGACTGCAATTTAGCGTGAACCCCCAGGGAGTTAGGTGGATCTAAATTTTAATCCCTGGATCGATCCAAATCTCTGGAAATACACCCTTAGACCAGTTGATACTCAGATCTTCTATTCTGAATGGCTTCTCTCTTTCTCTGTCCCCCCCCCCCCCTCTCTCTCCCTCCATTTGTTTCTGTTTTTGTCGATGTGATTGTGTGTGTGTGTGTGTGTGTGTGTGTGATAGAAAGAGGTTGCAAGAAAATTCAGGCTTTTTTCCTTGTTTATTTGTCAAAAAATTGATACACCTGGCACAGCATCATGTATGTCCAGTATGCCTATTATATCACACCTGCTTATGACATATCCAGTGCATTTTACGAAGTATAGACATTTATCGTTATTATGGCAGTATTAAGAACAAGTACTACCCCCATTAGCTACATGAATTTGTAAATAGAATGTTTAGTGCTATTGTTTTTATCAGCATATATGTACACTTTCCAACCTTAATTTTCAGGGACCCAAGCCGAACCCTGCAATGCAGGTGACCCATCATCTTCCAGCTGTATCCCCTGTCCTGAAGGCCAATATCAGACCTGGCAAACTACCCTTAGTGACCGCTTAACTTGTTCTGTGAAGTGAGTTTGTAGACTGTAACAAAATCATGATTGTGGGAAGATAGGATTTAGAAAACTGATGAGCACTGTGCTTGTACTGTATAATCAGGGGCGGATTGAGGCCATCTTCTAGGTCTTCCGGAAGATGGTCAGATTTTCAAGTTAACATTGACGGTAACTATTTTTTTCTGTCAGAAGACAGGCTAAAATGGTGGACTGATCAACAAAGAAAATTTGGAAGACTGTCAGAATATCACTGGATCTGCCCCTGATAATGACAATTAAAAAGGATTCAGCTTTTATAATACATATGTGCAGTATAAGAGACAAGAGAAAAAGGGTGGGTGAAAAGGGAATGGGGGAGGGTTGACTGATGCTTGTACTGTCCTACATCTTGTAAGACAACCATTAGATTTAGATACTTCACTCATGATTTAATCATAAATCATTTAAAATCATTTATTAACGTGGAATGCACAGTATAAATTCCCACAGCAGTAAACAGCAGGTAAATAAAGATGAATGATTCATGTTCATTTTCTTTCAGTTTGAATTGTACGAGTAACCACAAGGAATATGTCATTAGAGGGAGCTCTACCACAAAGTCAGTATGTGGGACATGCTTGGAGGGATTCAAAGAAACTGGTTTCCATACATGCATTGAAAACATATGCCCTGTTGGACAGGAACCTGAAGGAAATAGTAGGAATTTTTTTATTTCTTAATTTTCATTTTTAAAATTAGCTTATCTTTTATCTGAAATATTAAGTGAAAATGTACATTTTTTCAACAAATGAGATTCAGTTTTATCTCTCAATTGTGGCACATATTACTGATAGTGGCATGTATATTTTAGGTTGCCGATGGTGCAGTGTGGGCTATTTTTCAGACAAAGAGGACAATAAACCCTGCAAAAAAAGAACAATGTAAGTTAATAAAGTGGATAAAATTGCTATCAAATAATAGTGAGAATTGATTAATATGATTTTATTTCGTTAGTTAATGTAGATTTTCATTCTGTTGTTGAAAAATGATTGTTTCATTTTCTGGGAATCCATGGGGGTGAGATCAGATGTGAGAAAAAAATACTTTTTAATATAATATAATGTAATGTAATGTAATATATAATGCACGCATGCATGCACATGCACACACACACACACACACACACACACACACTGAAGTGAGAAGGGAGGATTATGTGAGGCAATGAACTCTACCTCAAAAGTCAATTTGTTCATTTTCTGTACTCATAAATAATGACAGTTTTGTTTTTTATTATTATTTTTAATATAACAAAGAGGCGACATCCCTGTCTGCAGTGTTGTTATGACAAAACCAATTTCTTTAATTACATGTTCTTTATTTTCCAGCTGCGAATGCATGTTGATCGAGGGCAATGAAACGATGGATAACAAATGCAGTCAAGGTATGGAGCTTCAACCAATTCTTCTATTTACATGTAAATGCACATATTAACAAATGTGTGTTTCCTTTAATAGATTCAGTCTCTAAGTAGATTCCATTGTAAGCTCTGTTTTTGTGTGTGTGTGTGTGTGTGTGTGTGTGTTTTTCTGAAGGGTCATACATGTCAGGGGCGGATCCAGAGATATTTTCTGACAGTCTTCCATATTATATTTGTTGATCCATCCTCCACTTTTTGACCGTCTTCCGACAGAAAAAATTAGATACCCGTCAATGTAAACTTGAAAATCTGACCGTCTTCCGGAAGACCCAGAAGACGGCCTAAATCCGCCCCTGCATGTAGGTACCTACTGCCAAAGTGCCCTGGGAATTTTGAAATGGAAAAATGAATTATCAGTAACAGTATTCCTAATGAATGGTGGCATTTACTAAACTTCTGATCATCTATATTTAAATATTTATCAGTGCCTTAGGCTAAGGATGCTGCTAGTTTTTCCCAAAAGCTCCTTACCTACTAATATACTATCTAATAAAGGCTTACAATACCCTTAGCATATTTTAAATGTCTATTTAAAGTACTGGAAAAACAAAAGCTTTAATTTAAAACAAGGTGGTCATCTACATGTATTTAGATTACTCAATATGTCCAGTCATATTTTACACTGCTGAAGTTTTTAAAACTATAAAATAGACTCACATTTAAACCATGATAGCTAGAATAACATAATGTTAAAGACAAGTGGAACAAATTCTTTTTTCAGATATTTCTCTATGCAGTGCTGCTGATGTCGAGGTAGATGCCTCCACACAATCATCTCCTGTGAAAGTGAATGAGGGACTGGCTGTAGGGCTAAGTGTTGGTGGAACAGTTGCATTTCTATTAATAATATTGGTTTTGGTCATCAACCGACATAACATACGTGCATGGATGAGGAGGAATCCTGATGCTACCTCTACAGTTGGATCCAACAACCACAGAGATATTGAAAATGGCAGACAGTCAGGTATATTCTTTGATTGTGTCAGTCTAGAAAGCAATTTGATATACTGCTAATATAAATTGATGTCATATTGCATGGCAGCATAACTTGTTATATTGCAGTTTGTATATCATATTATACAATTATTGATTTTGGTTGAGGTCATCTCGCCAAAAAATTTGTCTAGATGCCCAAAAAACAAATTGTGCTTGATTTTGTCTTGTAGATGACGTTGACACCACAGGTCGACCTGCACCATCAGGTAAGTGTAGTGTCAGCAGGGTTAGTGTGTGCCTGGTCGTGGAAATGTGGGATGCTCAGTGCCAGTGAGAAGTTCATGTAGTTTTAGTGACCATTCCCACAGATATTTGGATTGATGTATCTCCCTTGGGAGGCTTAAATGTCTGTCACGCCTAGTAAAGCTGTTAGGGGGTAATTATCTTTACCCCCTGGCTGATTCCATCGGCGAGACAGACACTTAGGCTTCGTTCACATGCAATGTCTATTTTCTAAAAATCTATTCTCTATTCGCGCTATCTTATGATCACGGTCTGTGCCCTGAATCTCCCGCCGCGTAATTACTGGCAGCGCGAGCCAGTTACTTATAGTAACTTATAGTAACTGGCTCGCGCTGCCAGTAATTACGCCGCGGGATATTCAGGGCACAGACCATGATCATAAGACATACCGCGAATAGAAAATAGAATTTAGAAAATAGACATTGCATGTGAACGAAGCCTAACATTTTGATCTCAAATCGAACAATATAAAGCTTGCCTTACGAAAATGAAATATATTGTATTTCTTTTCTGCAAATTTATTGATGATTTATGTAAAAATAAAAACAAGGACTAAAGAATGAATTAGCGTTTTACAAATTACATCAGAGAAAATAGTATCAATGTGAAATTGGTTTTGAATTTTCCTCGAATTGTTGTTGGCTACTATAGATGAATTCTTGAGTTTGAATAATTATGGTATGATTGAAACATGCTTCAAACACAACTTTTCCTTTGTTATAAAACATAATTTGTGTATAATCTGGACAAGGATCTAAGGTTTAATTTTATTATCACATTGCGTGATACTTTCTTTGTAGCTAATCAATTCCACTTTGTCTGACCATGAAGATGAAGTGGGGACTGAGACCAAGACTAATCAGGTACATATTGTACTATATCAATTAATGAGAATTATTGTATAATAGAAATATAAACATTTAAGAGATGTCTTCATATTTATCATTGTTATTATTATTACTATTATTATTATTTTGAATTCATTAAGTGGAAAGTCAACATTATGATAGTATTTGTTTATATTTTGTCCTTAATGAAATACTAAACTGATCATTCATAGATAAACAAACAGTATGTTTTTACTTGCAGCAAGATAAAGATGTGTTCTCATCTTGTCTTTTGACATTGAGACTTCTTGGCAAGTTCCTTGGCTTTATTGTATTTTTACCATATCGGACTCCAGAGCCACTACCAGAAACTTTAGAAATGACTTATGTCGCTATGAGAAGCCAGGTAGGCAAGCTAAATTTTGAATTGAATTTTCAGCATGATCTTAACGTTTTGATACAGTTAAGTGATTAATGAAATGGGATAAAATGTGCTATATAAAGACTTTAAAGAAAAATTATTGAGAATTTTAAGTGTAAGTGTATTGGTGAGAACTTTGCTCAGTATATTTTAATAGATTAAGTACCTGTGATGTGCAAGTATTATGAATTGTAAAAAAAATGTGCTGATGCATAAGCTCATAAAAGCTTGTATATCTTTAATCTGTAGGTCCCTTGTCCACTGGATGTTTATCAAGAAATTCAGTTGGCCTGTGTTGAGGGGAGACTAGTCCTGACTGTACCCTGGGTGGTGGAATTTTTGAGCATGATGGACAGCCTAGCACCAAGACTGCAGTACTACAGCAGTGTGTGCAAGCTGCTCATGCAGATTCATAGGTAAATTTAGACTGACTTTTACTGTTTGTTTGCCACTTGGTATAAAATGGATGTTAAATTCCATATTAGGAATGTCAGGTCAAGTTAAAGAACAGGCTTTAAAGTATTTTAAGTAAGTATTAAGTGATTAAGTATTATACAGAATGAAAATGGATTTTAGATTGAATCGTTTGTCTTGGTTTAAGAAGTTGATAACAAAAATTGAAGAGGTTCAAACTGCTTCTATGTAAGTGGTCATGTGTTTTGACATTCCAGATGTTTTGCAGCATCTTTCTTGGAAAGGTACAGTTTGAATTCCTTCCTAACTGTTGTGGTGCTTGGCTGGCTTTTCCAGGTAGGAAGCTTTACTATTGTTCCTCATTGGCGAAAGGATTTAAGTTAATGAACATTTTCATTCATAATTTTATACTAATTCGATGATTTTTTTCTCAGAAAATTATCTGATTTTCTTGCATTTTATTTAATGTAAAACATATGTGAAACTATTCATAGTACCTCATACGTGATCATCATTTTCTGTTGATATAGCTTCCACAGTTTCCAGAAGAGTTGTTTTTTACAGACCTGGATTCTTTGGATTGTTATAATAAAGATCAAAATTTGGTAAGCAGTATTTTTATGTACAGACACAGATGTGTCTGTACATATAGCCATCATCTGCGTCTGTCGTCGCCGTCGCCGTCGTCGCCGTGCACTTTTACCGATAACACGATAAGTGCAAAACTGTTTTTTCTTTTGGCTTGAAACTTACAGAACTGATGAATAATCATAATACACAGGTCAAGTTCGAAAATCAGCATGATCGGGTCACTTATAGGGAATTTATGCTGTTTTTTCACTTTTTTCAGCATATATGCAGCACCGATAACATGATAAGTGGAAAACCATTTTACCTTTTGACTTGAAACTTACAGAACTGATGAATATTCATAATACGCAGGTCAAGTTCGAAAATCAGCATGATCGGGTCACTTTTAGGGAATTTATGC